ACACACACACACACACACACACACACACACACACACACACACACACACACACACCTACAACCATTCGCGCTCACAATCACACCTAAGGAACAATCTAGAGCGTTCCAACGTACCACGCAAGTTTTTGGAATGTGGGAGGAAACCGGAATACCCGGAGAAAACCCACGCAGGCCCAAGGAGAACATGCAAACTCCACACAGGGAGGCGGGAGCCGGAATCGAACCCTGGCCCACTGTACTGCGAGGCGCATGTGCTAACCAGTCAACCATTGTGCCACCATTAAATATAAACAAACACACACGCACACACATACACACAACTACTAATACTAATACTTAAGCGCATGAACTCCAATATTTTGCTGACAGAATCTTGTGAGACAATGCTAATCACCTCCTGAAGCTTTGTCCTTTATTGCCCTCTACATGAAACCTTGAGAGTCTCGCCTCTCTGCCGGGCCCTGGAAAAACTCCTTTGAATATTCATGCAAGCGACACAACACGCGAGTGAGGGCCACATCATTAGTGTTATCATCCTTCCCCTCACTTGAAGCCCTCTGACAGAGTAGCACAACATCCAGCATCTATTTCGAGGAGGGGTGGACAAAAAGGACAAAAAAAACAACAACAAAAAATGCGGAAATCATGAGCTTGTTGTGCTGAATGGGGCAGAGAGTTTTAACGAGCGACGGCGCAGACGGTGAGTATTCTCCTTCAGCTGGCAGAGCGTCCTACTGTACAACCGTCCATCTTTTGGCGAATGGTAGTGCTGTAATACTGAAATAAAGACATTTAAAATAACCCGCAAAGGCCCCGATCTTACATGAATTGACAAATATGAAAAAAATTTCACTAGGATGTAGTTATGGTTGGTTTTGTAAAGATAAAATGTACTTTCACTTAGTTTTCTTTTTCTACATTTCTTCAAAGCATTTTTTGCTTTGAAAAAGTTTTTTTCAGTTTTAGTTTTGGTGCAACGTACAGTAAAATACAGTCTGACTTCATTTTGCCTTCATGCACTTCCTCCTTTCAAGCCTTGAAATTTCAAGCACCTGCCAGAATCCATTTTTTCTTCAACACACTCGGTGTTCTCGACGAGAACAGAGCGACACCATCCCCAACCGTTCTGCATTATTTTCACCATTCTGTTCACAACTTCTCAAGCCTGGAAAATTTTCACCACCTCCTGGCGCGAGCTGCGGTATGAAA